TACAAGGTATTGCTCTTCCTGTTCGTCGACCTCCTTGTTATAGCTCTCACAACCGCTACTTTTCTATCCACTTTTTTTGTTGTTGTTGAGACAGAGTCTCATTCTGTAGTTCAGGCTCCCCCAAAACTATGAAACCCGGGCTGGCCCTGAACTCATAGCAATCTTCCTGACTCAGCCTCCCACGTGCTGGAATCACAGGTGTGTGCCACCACACCCAGGTTTCTAGTCACTGTGAACTGCTCAGTCTGCAGTGCCAAGTTCTGAAAGGAACCTCTGATCGGCTTACCTGCTACCCAGCACTCTTATTGGGCAGAGCCCTTTAGGCCAGTCCAGCTCATTGGCTGAGGGCTAAATGAGGCCAACACTCAGGTCTAGGACAAACTGCAGCTACTGCTATGTAAAGGCCACTTGGAGCTCTGCTGAGTAAAGCAGGGAGTAAAGCTCTGGCATTAAAGCAAGGAGGAAGCAGATACTTTTCCCTGAGCACTTGCTCTCTGCCAGGCCTTCCGATGAGGAACTGGTAGGGGACACAGGAGTCACACAGGTCCATCACCTCAAGGAAATCAGTCTGGTTAAATGGACTTTGTCTCTTTGTTTGCTGGTTTGGTTTCTTGTTTGTAGTACGAGTGATTGAACCCAGGGCCTTCACACTGAGCTACATCTTCAGCCCGTTTTTATTTTTTATTTTAATTTCACCAAATTGCTAAATTGTTCAGGCTGGGCTTTAACTCGAAATCCTCAGTATCAAGGAATGCTGGGATCACACACATGCATCACTATGCCCAGCTCAGGACATGGGCCCATGTCGGGAAGTTTTGAAAGTGCCAAGTGTTGCTGATGGCTCGAAGACTGAGGGCAGGGGAGAGGGCAGGAAGGCTCATGAAGGAGGCCTCGTTTAGGCAGAACCTTGAAGAGCGGGTAGGGTATTAACCAGCACAAGTGGGAGAAAGGGAACTTCCAGAGGAGAGAGCTACACGCGGGAAAGTGGAGCAGGACAGGAAAGCGTGCGTATGTGCAGAGGACATTCCCACTGGTTTTGCAGAGTCATGCACTGGAAGCAGAGAAAGCAGTGGGCATTAAGTTCATAAAGGGATTGCAGAGGGCTCCCAGGCCTGTTTCTAGAGTTGAGATTATCTCTAGGCAGGCATTCATTGAACAAATATTGATGAGTAAAGCCAAGTGCTGCAGCTTTGGTGTAAAAAAAGACAATGTTCTCCCTGAATTCTAGGAGGCTGAGGCAGGAGGGCCACAAGTCAAGCCCAGCCTGGGTAACTTGGTAAGACCCTGTCTCAAAATAAAAAGGGCTGGGGATAAAGCTCAGTGCAAAGGCCCTGGGTTCAATCTGCAGTACTAAAAAAAAAAAATTGTCTTACTTTCCAGTGGGAAGTTAGACAATAAGGAAGAAATGAAGACTACAGGTGAGGGGTGTAGCTCAGTGGCAGAGCACTTGCCTAACATGCACGAAGCCCTGGGATCAGGCTCTAGCGTGGATATGTACACACAGAGAAGAAAGAGAAAAGGAGAAAAAAATAAAGCCTGGTGCTCTGGTTTGGAGGTCCCTTCCAACACTCACGTTAGGCGTAGTTGCCCCCAAGCAGTGTTAGTTAGAGGTGGAACTCAAACTGTGGCGAGGGCTGAGGGCTCTGCTCCTGCCTGAACGATGCTGACACCCAGGAGTGCCTGAGTCACTCAGCTGCCTGGTGTGGGGTGTGCTTGGCCCCACCCTCCCAGCCCTGCGCTTCCTGGCTGTCTATGTGATGCTTTCTGCCTTTGATAGATAGCACAGCAGTAAACCCTCACCCCATGCAGCGCCTCTGTCTTGGACTTCAGCCTCCAGAACCAGGAACGGAGTGAACCTCGGTTGGTTGCAATTTACTCAATCTGTGGTATTCTGTTATAGCAACACAGAACAGACGGAGAGAACTAGAAAACAGGGAGCTGCTGAAGGGCTTGGAGTAAGAGTGAAGACGGACCTATTCTGCGTCCACAGGGGGACAGAGGAGCTGGAAATGATGCGCTTACTCTGTGAACAAGTGAGGGTGGGCATTCTGACCCTCTTTGCAGAAGAGGAGAGCAGCCAGGCCGACATCCAGCCCTCAGCAGTGTCCACCGTGGTGCCGTCTCTCTCTCTCTCTCTCTCTCTCTCTCTCTCTCTCTCTCTCTCTGTGCTATTATGGGTGACTCAGCATCCTAAATTGATTTAAAAATTTCCCTTTCATGGTCATTTTGACTTTGGGGAAGAGCCGGAAGTCCTGCAGTGCCAGATCCTGTGAACAAGGTGGATGAGGGCTCACGAATGTTTTATAGGCCAGCTCTTCTGTTGGATGGCGCTTGGCAGCAGTATTCACTGTTTTTTTGGTTTTTTTCGTTTTTTTTTAATCACGTCTCATGAGGACACTCACAGAAGAGAACTTCCAGGAGTGCTTCAGGCAAGAATGGAGGGATAAGCGTGCCTGAAGTAAAGGAGAGTATTTTGAGGGGGATTAATGGCAATTTGTCTTTTATTGTAATGGAGCTCACTCTTCCTTCCTTTCTTTCTTTCCTTGAGACAGACTCTCACTATGTAGTTGAGGCTGGCTTCGAACTCATGGCGATCCTCCTGTCTCAGCCTCCCAAGTGCTGGATTACAGGCCTGTGTCACCATGCCCTATTGCAATAGTTTTAAGAACTTAAACACCCACCTCTTTTTTCTTTTCTTTTTTTTTTGGTGGGGGGGATTGGGCAGCAAACTCAGGCCTTGTACTTGCAAGGCAGGGGCACAGTGCCACTGAGCTAAATCCCCGGCCATCCCCATATTTTTTGGTCACCCCTTGTATTTCATGATGCCATTTAATTCTTTGACCTGCAGTTTGTGATGGATACTCATCCCATTTTTCAGAGTGAGGCCCAGAAATGTATTGGATCTGCCCGTTGTTACCTCGCTGTCAGGTGTCAGGGTCAGGGTTTTGGTTTGTGGTTTGTATTATGGTTTAGATGAAGACTGTTCCCCCAAAACTCTCATGTTTTGTGTTTGGAGGCAGGGACTTTTGGAAAGAGACTGGGTCAGGGGCGCTGTGTAAGTCAGTGGATTTATCCACTGAGGGGCTCAGTGTGGTTGTTGGATGGGGCCTGGTTGGATGAGGCCGTTACTGGGGCCGTGACCTGTGACCCAGAAGGACATGGGTGCTGCATCTCCCGCTCTGGCTCCTTCTCTCTGCTGCCAGGCTGCCCTGCAGTGAGCAGATGCCCCTGGCCCTTCCACCATGGCCTTCTTGCCTTGGAGCCAGATGACCTTGGACTGAGTCTCTGAAGACCAGGAGCCAAAATTAACCTCTCCTGCTTTTAGTTGTGTGTATCAGGTATTTTGTCCCAGCAATGGGAAAGTGGCTAACATAGTTTACTTGTTGTTTATTGAGACAGAGTCTCACTAAGTCATCCAGGCTGTCCCTAAACCAGGCTCATATGATCCTTCTGCCTCAGGCTCCCAAAGAGCCAGGTTAGGACTGAAAGCCAGTCTACCTCACTTGTCTTCAGGGTCAGGGGTTCCTAGCACAGGACCAGCAGTAGCAGCTGGGGACTGGTTGGAAAGAGAAATCCCTTGACTTCACCCAAGACCTCCTGAGTCAGAGCCTTGGCAGTCTGTCTTCTAGCACACAGCCCTCCGGGCTTCTAGCTTGAGCACTGACAGTCTAGACAGATACACACGGGAACACAGAATGATAAACAGTTAGGAATGAGGGGCCGAGGGGACATGAAAGACAGACACCTGGGGCGAGACCCAGGGAAGATGTTTGAGCAGAGCTTGGGAAATAAGTAAGCATTCAGGAGGTAGCTTAGTGGGCTTGCTGTCTCTCTCTCTCTAGTTCTTCAAAATTGAAGTCTCACTGCAGGTCTGAACAGATGTGAAAAACAATTGAGTACCTAAGAATTTGTCAGATCTGATGGCACAGGCTTATAATTCCAGTCAGGAGAGTAATAAATGAGAGCCCAGCATGAGTAATTTAGTGACTTAGTGACTCTCTCAAAAAAAAAAAAGAATTAAAGGCTGTGGATGTAGCTCAGGATGAAGGCCCTGGGTTCAATCCCCAGTACCACATCTTAACTAATTAACTAAATAAGTGTTATTTTGAAGGCTAGGGATGTAGCTCAGCGACACAGCGCCTACCAGGCAAGCATGAGGTCTTGAGTTCAATCCCCGGTACAAAGAAAAAGTTAAGCATACATTTCCACATGATCTAGCCATCCCTACTGTTAGATATTTATGAAACAGAAGTAAAAACAGAGCCTGACATGGTGGTGCATGCCGATAATACCAGCTACTCTAGAAGCTAAAGCAGGATTGTGAATTCAAGGCCAGTGTGTGCAACTTAGCAGAAACATATCACAAAATAAAATTTGTGAAAAGGAGGGCCGGTGATGTTGCTCAGGGGTGCTGCACCTGCCTGGTAAGCTCAAGGTCCAGAGTTTGATCCCCAGTAACAGGAAAAACAAATAAACAAACAATAAAAATATGTGAACGGGGTGGGGATGTAACGCAGGGCTAGAGTGCTTGCTTAGCATTGGTGAGGCCTTGGGTTCAATCCCCAGAACCATAAATCAAAGAAGTAAAAACTAGGGTTGGGCATACAGTTCAGTGGTCACTTGCCTAGCATATGTGAAACCCTAAGTTGATCCCAGCACAAACACAAACAAACATGTTTCCACACATCACACGCATACAACCTGTACCCAAATATTTATAGTAGTTCTACTTATAGGCACTAAACACTGGAGATAACCCAGATGTCCCTTGGTTGGTAGGGTAAAGCAGTTGTGACACTCAGAAATGAGAGAGGACTGTACACACAAAGGTGGATTTCAAGCACCACGTGAGGTCGGTGAAGCCAGGCACAAAAGGCTGCCTGCTGTCGCTTCCTGAGGATGCCTCTTAGCTCTGCCTGGGGCAAGCCCAGCACCATTCGCTCTCAGTACATATTTACTGGGCAGCTACCATGCTCCTATTTTAGGTCCTGAGGATACCGCGGTGAACACCAGGAGCACAGGGTATTATTTCCCCTGTGGAGTTTACATTCTCATTGGGAGGATGGAGAAAAGCCAGATGAGTAAGTAAATTCGATGGCATTCAGGAGGCTGCTGGTGCTAAGGAGTCCGTCTGTAGCGTTTAAGCAAAGACCTAAAGGAAATAAGGGAAAGAAGTGTTGCACCCTCTCTCCTCAGGAAAGAGCACGCCAAGCAAGAGAGGGGTGTGCGGGAGGGGCAGAGAGCCAGGGCGGCCTGTGACTGGGAAGGAATGCCCAGGGGAGACGGAATGAGGGCCGCAGGGGAGAACTTAGGCTTGGGTTCTGGGTGAAGTGGGAGCCCCCAGAGGGATTTGAGCGAGGAAGGGACGAGATTGGATATATCTGTATTATACAGCTAGAGCTATAGACACTGAAAAAGATTTGGTGGTATTGGGGGGCAGGCAGGGCCTCGTGTAGGCTTGGCCTGTGCTGCCCCTGAGCTACATCACCAGCCCCACAGATTTCCATTTCTGAAGAAACCCTCTGTCTGCTAGGTGCAGCACCAACTGTAACAGGACCAAGCTTGGAAGCAGAGAGACCACTTAGGAGACTCACAAAACCCAGGTGAGACCTGACAGTGGCTTAGATCCGGGAATGAACAGTGGTGGAGACTAGAAGAGGCTGAGCCTCAGGTCCTGTGTGCTGCCTAGAGTGGAGCCAATGAAATTCCCTCTCAGCGCTTTCAGATGGGCCTGCAGAAAAGCAAGGAACTATTACCATCATTTTACCTCACACAAGATGGAGGCCTTGGGGCTGCTGGCGGAAAGTTAGATGCATAGATTTTGTGCCCCTGAGATTCCAGTCAAGGGTCTCGGTTGTCACCCTCCCGTGCGGTCATATGACCAAGTCCATGCACATGATCCGCTCGGTACTTCCCCAAGTCACCCTGAAGACAGCTGCCGTCTGCCGTGTGTGGTCTGTGCATGGCAGCTGCTGCCCTGGGCACTCACTGATCTTTGGCCGGCCGGCCCTGCAGTCACCCCAGCGGGAAGATCCTGTGCAGCAATTTGCTGCTTCCACGATGGCGTCACACAGAAAACACCGACGAGGCCAAAACACCCGCAGAAGGAGGTGTCTGTGTGGCCAGCAGCGGGGCCAGGCCACTGTCCTGTCGGGCACAGCTCGCATACAGACTGTGGAGGAGCTGGAATGACCTGGAGGCCACACTGAGGGCCTTGGACTTGATCCTGTTTGTGCAAAAGGAATATGAGAGAGACGTGCTCCGGTTTCTCGAGGTTAATTCAGCAGGACCTGTGAAGGAGGAGACAAGCTAAGAAAGAGCCACGGTAGCAACAGTTCTGATGAGAACTGTTAGAAGTTCAAACCAAAGGGACAGGATTGAGAAGTAGATCAGAGGACTGAGAAGTGACTGTCAGAGTTAAGAAGACAAATAGTGGCAAGAGACAGGAAGAACTTGGGGGTGGGCGGGGAGCACTCAGGACTTTCCCAGCCCCAGATCTTGTGGCTCAACTTTTTAGGGGAAATCCTTCCCCCACATGAACCCCGACTGCTCACAATCCTCAGGGCTACTTGAGCCTTGTGCCTTCCTCAGCCTTATGTTTCTCAAACAGGAAAAAAGGAATATTTGCTGCGGTTCAAATGTATGCACCCTCCCAACTATAATACTGGAATTTAAATCCCAGGTGACGTAGGAAGAGGCGAGGCCTGGGTTGAGGGTGCAGCTCGGTGGTGGAGCCTACACGAGGCCCAAAGTTCAAGTCCCAGCCCCACAGGAAGATAAAAAGACAACTGAAAAAAAGATGAGGTCCCTGGAAGGCAATCGGGCTGTGGGGCTCTGCCCTGGTAGCTGAAATCAGTGCCTTTGGAAAGGGCTTGGGGCAGAGTCCATCCCTGCACTTGTCCACCTTGTGCAGTGATCTGGGGCTGCCCTGGAAGCAGAGGGGAGCCCTTGCCAGACACCAAGTAATGTGGAGCTTTGTTTGATCTTGGATTTCCCATCCTCCAAAACCATTACAAATGAGTTTTTACTACACATGAACTGCCCAGTCTAGGACACCTCGTTAGCAGCAGGAACAGACTAAGGCAGAAATGAGATGTGGGTTGCTACTCTAACAGACAGCTAAAGCTGTCCGGGCACCTCGGCCCACACCTGTAACCCCACACTCGGGAGTCTGAGGCAGAGCATTATGAATTCAAGCCCTGTCCGGGCGACTTGGTGAGACCCTTGTCTCAAAAGGGGTTTAGAACTCAGCTCGAAGTCCTTGGGTTCAATCCCCAGGACAAACAAAGCTGAGTTTCATACCCCAGAAAAGGGGAAACAGCTTAAAAGATTCAGAAAATTTTCAGCCTGGCCATATTAAAAACGAAAATGCAATAGCAACACTGAATACTGTAGAAATGCACTTTGCTCAGTAATACTTGAGTTGTTGCAATATTTGATTAACCATTTGGTTGTTACAGAAAAATTCTTAACTGTAATTGACGGTTGTTGCCATCATAGTAAATTGCCTGTATTTCTACCTCTAGTAAAGGACTTTATGTGCTAGATTTTAATATCCTTGAGCCCGGGCAAGCGCACAAGTCTTTTTAATATGGTTTCCTTGCACAAACTAATCAGGATTTGAGAGCTCTTTAATGCCCTCGAAGTGGTTTTTGTGGGGTTGAAACAAATGGTGAGAATTTGAATTGGTCCCTCTTATTACAGTGTTGAAATTAAGTCTACTTAATTTATCAAATCATGTTCATGCCCTGATTGTATATACTTGAATCTATCAATAAACATTGTGATACTTGAAAAAAAAAAAGAAGAAGAAGAAGAAAATGCATATTCCAGAAAAGCCAAAGGATGTTTGTAAAGCGGGTTAGTGTGTCCCGAAGGAAGCCAGGTACTGCTCATCAGGACACGGAAGAACAGAGATGCTCTGGGGTCTCCGAGACGGCACTGCAGTCACCCAGGCACCAGGGGCCGGAAGCAGCAACACCCAGGGTAGGCCCAGCACTCGGGGCCACAGGACCGGGTGCCCAGCCAGCCGCCGCCAGGTTCTGCTGTGAGCGACGGAGAGGCACTCATTACCCGCCCCTCCCATGACTCCACTGGCCAGGGAGCTCGTACTATAACTGCAGACTGACAGGCGCTTGGCCTTGGCCGCACCCACACAATGCCATCTCCATGGGTGTGCAGGGGGCATGAGCTATGGAGCATGGCTACCTCCACCTCCCCAGATTTCTTTTCTTTTCTTTTCTTTTTTTTGGTACCAGGGATAGAACTCAAGACCTTGGGCTTGTGAGGCAGGCACAGTACCACTGAGCTAAATCCCTGGCCATCCCCCTAGATTTCTTTATTTCTTTCTTTATTTTTTTTTAGGAGACAGGGTCTTGCTACGCAGCCTAGGCTGGCTTGAGGATGGTAGTTTAGTGTAAAAGACCCTGGTTCAAACTCCAGTACCAGGAAAAAAAAAAAAAAAGATGACAAAGAAAAGATGACATTGGGTGGGAGGAGGGAAAAGGAGTGTCATTTTCCCCATTGTGCAAAAATAACTGCTATTTAGAATTTGGGTGGGGCATGGTAGTGCAAACCTGTAATTCCAGCACTTTTTTATTTCAGGGCCCACGTCTTTGCGAAGTACCCAGCTCCACTGGGCCGGCTGGTCAGGGGAGCTTTCCTCCATCCCTTCTGAGTGGGTCTGTCTTTCCCGGTCCAGATTTCCTACCATAAAACTTCATTTCAGAATATACACTTGAGTAGCTTTAAATATATTCATGAAATTGTATAATCATCACTACTATCTAATCCCAGAACATTTTATCACTTCAAAAAGAAATCCTAGCTGGGCATCATGGCACATGCCCAGCACTTGGGAGGCCAAAGCAGGATCGCCACAGGTTTGTGACTAGCCTGAACTACACAGAGAGACTGTGCCTCATCTCCCCCCATGCAGAAAAGAGATCCTGTAGCCCTCGCTAACCATCTCCTCTCCCACCACCCAGCAACCACTGAGCTATTTTCTGTCTCTACAGACTGACCTATTCTGGGTATTTTATTTAAATGAAATTATGCAGTATGTGACTTATGCCTGGTTTCTTTCACTTAGTCCCTTTTCAAGGTTTGCCCAGACTGGAGCACACACATTATATTTTAGGGTGAATATTACATTGCACAGATATATCACTTCTGTTATCCAGTCACTGGCTGCTGCGCCGGTGGGCTATTTCTGGTTTGGGCTAGTATGGATGAGGCATCTGTAAGCATTTGTGCACAAGTTTACGTATGGACACATACACTGAATTCTTTGGGCTAAGTACCTAGGAGAGGAATCATGGGGTCGTGTGGTATCCTTATGTTGAGCTTTTGTGAAGAACTGAAAACTTCTCTGTAGCATCTGCACATTTCAAATACCTACTCATTTTCTTCTCTTCATCCTCACTGGCCCTTACTTTCTTTCCTGTGTAAAAAGTCTAGCCATCTTCGCAGGTGTGGAGTAGTATCTCATTGTGGTTTTGATTTGCATTTCTTTAATGACTAATGATGGTGCTTCTTGGTCATTTAAAGAAGTGCCTATTCAAATCCTTCGCTCATTAAAAAAATAGGTTAAACAATAAAGAGGGGGTAAAGCTCAGCTGTAGAGCATTTATCTAGCCTGTGCGAAGCCATCAGTTTGATGACCAACACCAGGAGAGAGAGAGGAGGGAATTAAAAATAAAAATAAATTGCCATATGTGGTGGCGCATACCTGTAATCCCAGTCCTCAGGAGGCTGAGGCAGGAGGATCGCTGTGAATTCGAGACCAGCCTGGGCTACATAGTGAGTTCCAGGTCAGTCTCAACTACATAGTGAGAGCCTGTCTCAAA